GCATACTGCGCCGCGCCGAGAACATAAAGCGCGGTGCTGCACCCTTTTTCACTTGTGTCATTCAGGTGAACGACAAACCGAGAACATAAAGCGCAGTGCTGCACCCTTTTTCACTTGTGCCATTCAGGTGAACGACAACCGCTGAACGACATGAACAAAACCAACCCAGGAAACTCGGGCAAAAGTCTCGATCCAGTGTATCGATCCGTGAATCCGTAAATGCATTCAACGCGGCTTCTGTAACATTCTTTGATGATCACAGTTTTACCGTGGATGAGGGGGCATGCACCTTGATGGTAGACTGATCAACAGTCGTTGCCATCCGCTCGCATTACTAGGCATCACACCGGAACCTTACGTCGAGTTCAATAATTCTAGCTATCTTCTCCTTAGGTGCCTGGCAAAATGATGAAAAGTTGGCATTATTGATGATGTTTGTGCACGAATTACCCGTTCTATCCAGCTTTATTTGGTTCAGAGAAAAAGTGCAATATATGGTCGAGAGGAACATAACGGTCAATGGCATTTAGCGTTTATGGAAGGATAACATTCACGCAGATTTTTACCTAGATACGAGTAGTCCAAATATGTGTGGTGCAGAATGCAACCACGCACAACTGTGTCTGACATCACAGACCGGTGAGGCTGAGCGCAATAATTGCTAATAAAATCCATTCTCCTCCCGATGTCCCACGTAAGCGAACAAACGGAAGGTAGGTGGAAATTTCACCGCCAGCAAATTGAGAATATTTTCAATCTAATGATCGAGCCACGGGCATTGGTCATAACCGTTTGTAAGCCTCAAGTTCTTTAAACCTAGTATGAGTTACCCGAATATAGTGTGTTTATGACAAATATTACCGGGAACAGCTAATTTTGAGGTCTGAAAATACAAGATTTAGCATTTGTACAGCCGAGCTGAAGGCACAGGACAAAATGTAATTACATCAATGGTACTTCCGCGCCCAATATAGACTCTCCCTATTTCCCTATTTTATTATAGCTGCAGAACTAACTTCATCGGGGCCATTTAGCAGCACAATGCTCTTAGCTGCAAAACCTTTAGGCGAGGTGTAAAACTTTTTGCGGCAAAATGTTGCATTTGCTTGCACATGCGCTGAAAACCAGAATCCATCCCAATCTACCTCATATCTTTGCAGCTTACCAAATTGCACTTTGCAATGGAGTAATCATACCTCTGGCCAAAAACGTCTAGTGTAATACTTTCCTAGCATCGCTAAGACTCCGAAATGCCTAAATGCGCCTCAGAAATTTGGACTGTTACTCTGTACCTAGTTGCCCAATTGCTTTGGTCCACCAACGACACGTGATAGCTTTTGAAATTTCCATTCTATTGTGCCAATACTGAGCGCCAAATTCACCCGATGCTGAAACTCTTATCAGAGAAACCGCGATTTACGGAGCAAATCCGCATATGTGACCACTTGATGTGGATTGTGGATGTGTGGATGTGACTGCAGGACGAGCGCTGCCATATCCTCTCTGAGTGCGAGTCAGTCATACTGCTGTTCAGCAACTCGCGGCTGATTCTGGGGACTGACATGACTTTCAGTTTAAGTGCTTTTTCACCTGTTTTAAATAACCGAAACAACCTTCTGAAACAAAAGCAGCTTCAGGGAAATTTCATGGCTGGTCTAGGCAGGAAATATTGTTATTATTGAAGATCTTTCGTGTCATGCCACTATTATTTTTCATATCCCAGCTGAATGGGGACTGTCTGCTTCATTCCTAAGTGCTTTAATTCTTTTTACTTTATTTTATTACGATAGATATCAAGAATTTCTTAGCTAATCATCTTTGTAAATTTCAAATTCTGTTAAGGTAGTCGTTCTTTCAAAGCAGAGCCATACTACTGAAATTGGAGGTAGCATGCTACAATTTTACATAATTTGGAACTGAGCAGTTCCAATTTGCATATTGGGGGGGGGGGGTAATGTTAAAGTCCTCCAATACTCATCAACGTTCATTCTTGTGTCAGTGGAACTGACTATGTACCAAGAATCTACCACAACGTTTGTTCTCTTTAGATATCCTAGATCTCTTCATCTTGTAGATTCCTGAAAATATGCCTCACTGTTCTTGTTTCCCTTCCTATCCCTTTTTTCGCATGTTTCTAAAATTAGTTGTATCATGTTAGTCTTGATGTGATCCCGTGGGTCACTCCCGAAGAAACCTTCCAGATGATTTAGCGGTAAATTCAGCCGGGACAAGGTAGAACAAAGCTTGACACAAATTTATGTCCGTGTTTTTCTGGAACTATAGCTACCCCCTAAGTTTTGCTGTTTTTCTTATATGGTGTCAGATTCCTTTTCACGCAATTACGTGACGGCAAGGGCAAATTAATATGCAGTGAGGGACAGAATTTGATGAAACTGTAAATGATCGCAAGATTAAACGCAAGATTAACATTACCAGGTCTTCTTGTAATTCGCAAGGCAGATTCAATCAGCATTGCTCAAAGTATGGTGGTTATGGGGGAAGATACACGCTGAATCAAATGTATTAGGACGGATTCGGCGCAGTGTCTATCCCCCAAGCGCTCAAAAGTTCTTCATTAAATGGGCGAATTTCAACATGCGTACGTTGTTCACACATTTATTACAACACCACAATGTACAGCTCTATTCGCAGTCAGTAAGAGATGTAGTGTTTGCTTCAAGTGATTCATAAATATTGTTCCTTATTTCTCCTGGGCAGAATAAACACACTTATTGACGTTTGAATTAAAGAAAGAAAGGAGGAGATAGTCCTCTACTTCCGTTGCGAAAATTGCAAGATGGACGTCGAGCGGAAATCTGCGTATTTATACTTTTCTTAGGCTTGAAAATGTTGTAGATATCTGTGAAATTCAAGACAGAATCAAGGAGGCTTGAAACTTGCCCGATAATTCCGGGCTGAAAAAATCCGTTTTCGATTTTGTGGTTGGGAGTGGACAAGATTAACACATTACACACATTACAAGTTAAATTTATGACCTACCTTAAAAAAGTCTATTTATAAGCAGTTACACTTAAAAACTTCCAAGGAAAACTGATACCAACATATCAGCGCCTTTTATTGTGCAAAGCTGGTGATAAACGCACACATATGAAGCATCATCCGCCTCGTTGTTCGTACAAATGTCTGTGACGCACTTACTCATTTGGAAGTAGAGCAGTCAGAAAGCAATAATAATCTCGAATTTTCTGGCGCACCTCCAGTCAGAGAGCACAAAACCAGAGATAAACAAACAATGCAGAAAGCATAATTAGGTTGTAATATGGGACTCTAGCACGCGACCGTTCGTCAGATAGCATGGGAGGCAGAATGGCCCGCCTGTAATTGGTTATTTCGGGCTTTTTTGCGTCACCCACTGAAGCACGGGTTGACTTGAGGCCTTGGGAGTTTGGGCAATAAGTGCTTGCCACTCTAGGGATCGGGGCGCTTTCCTCCGTGTTTATGGCTGGATTAAACAAGTAATGAAATGAAAATGCTTCAGACATTTTAGATAAACCAGTGACTGAGTGGGATAGCATAAAATGTTTTCGGCTTCCTGATTAAAACTCAGCTCCTTAATTGCGACGCAACAAAACACGAGCAGTAGCGGATAGTTGGATCTGACAGCGTTAAACACTGATGACGTAGAACCATACTGTTTTCCGTAAAATACATCGTTTGACATAAAAAGTGGGTTCAATCCGGGAAAATATGTTAATCCGCGATCGATTTAAACCGAACACTTTCGGGGCATTTGTGAAGCTACAACTCTATTTGAAGCGTTACTCACTCCTTTAACATCTCTTGTTATGTTTGCTTCCAACAATCACAGCCATCTTGTTACAATTCACCTCGAGGCTTAAACGTATCCGGCGATAAACATTCGAGCGATCTTAGCACTGATTCATGTAGTTGCCAAGAAGGAAAATGTGAAGAATGCCGATCGGCTTTGCTATTGCTAACATAATTTTCACTGCAGTACAGCCTGGTTTGTCACAAATATCAAACCGCTCCAGAACAGTAGCATAATTGTCAATTAATGACCTGAGTAAAAACAGGTAAGCTATTCTGAATGCATGGAAAATTACTTTATTTGTCTGATATCGAAATATGTAGCCTAGACATAAACAAAAGTTTGCGGTGTTAGCTTGGTCGTCTCTACTTCCTCCAAATTCCTGTAAATCCCAACAATTTACATTCCTTTCTACTGGTTCAAACCTGACTGCTGTTCAATCGAAGTGAACAAAAGTCTATACATTATTTTGCACTGTGACGCTGATTGAGGCAGAACTAATAAAACAGCCTGACCAAATGAGATCTCATTTAGTGTGAATGTCTATGCTGCTAACAGCAGAAGAATACAAAAAATACTTTGCTACACATCACTTATTTCAGAATTATGCGATAAATTTTAATTTTTGATGAAAGTTGAGTAAATTGAAGTTTTTCTGCAAAAATTGGTCACATGACCCATTCTTTAGAAAGTTCTTTCTAACTGCAACTTCATCAGGTCCCTGTCTATTAATTGCATCCTAATTTTCTATTTTATATTTTATCACTGGATATTTCTTCCGGCAGATTCACTTAGAGCTGAAAACACTCTAAACTTAGGTGGAAAGCATCTTCATTGATAACCTTTCAAAGGTTTGAACAACTATTTTTGACCGGTTACACAGAAATGACCATGTAAGGCATCGTTTATCATTTACTATCCCATGTGTGCGAAAAACTGTTCCGAAATGCTAAAAATGAATGAAACAGGTGACTGCGTATTGGAAGTTTGACCAAACTAATAAGAGAGTCTACCACTTTCCTTAAAAATTACAAGCGCGTCCACGCACACTCTCGCGTAGAATTTCGCTTATTTTCAATCAACCCAAAGTACGGTTTGTCCCCTTTAAAATGCTTGTATACGAAATTAGCCAAATACAGCTTCCTAAGACAACTTTACCAATAGGGTTATGGTGCCGCGTATCACCTAGCTAAAGTTTGGACCGACTTATCACGCATAAGTATGGTAGCCTTTTGTAAAAGGAAGTGCTGAGGCGAGCAAAGAATCAGCTAAATGATGCTGAAAAATAAGTTGACTGAAGTAGAAAGTAGAAAAGCGAAATTCTTTTGAGACTTACGTGAATCGAAACAATATTGGCCGTAGACAATGACGAGCCGCATATTTTTCGAAAGGCAGACTGCTGATTGAGCTGTTTGAGCAAAAAGAAGAATGATGAAAATGTAATTCTGCGGATAGGTAGCTTATTAAGGTCTTTTTCCCGGATTGGGTGCAAAGCTGTATGAAAAGTGGTTGATTAAAACCAGTGCCTCTTAAAATGCCACTAGTTGCACAGACCGACAAAATTATGTTTGTGATGAAAGAGGTTCTATTAGAATACTTTTAGAAAATCTCAACCAAATGCACCAATATTAACAATTTGGTAGAGTGCATTGAGTATTCCGAAAAGTTAACCATTTGTAGTCCAGAAGGGAAGAGGCCCCTGGAAAGGAAGACTAAAACGGAATAGTGGTCATCAAACAACAGCAGCGGGATGAAATGAGCTATAATTACGATTTAAATGCTTCACGTTACTTAGACCGGGTGATGCTTTCGTCTCTAAAGCCTTTTGCATTTTAGATGAAACCTGTCAGAATAATAACGTTCATCTAGAAGTTTCCAAAGCAGAATTATCTTTTAACTCTACGTTCATCAAGCTACACGCACATCACCTGTCCGGTTTTTAAAAGGACTAATATTATATTAACAGGATTGTACAAAAATAACAAGTTTTCCAGTGAATACCACTCTGTTGGTAACAGTTGGAAAATTTATAAGACTTCAGACCTCCAACTGACTTATATTCCTTAAATGGATAGATTCACAGGACTGTCTCGCTTATCAGCATCTCCGGATACATCCGGAACTACCGAATGTTTTAGTGGACCTTTTGTACACACAATTTGGTTTGCTCGTTGAGCTTGTTAAAAGAAAGTTATTATTTTCCTGAAGGCAATAAGAGAAAAATGATTGATAATTAGGAGTTGTTTACCAAGTTTTTCTAATGAAACTCTTTTTCGTAATACTTCTACTCAGTCAGCCCTCAACTAGGTGAAACGAAAAGTAAGCTGCAAGAAACGTCTCTTAAAGTTTGCACACTGCGGGGAATAAGTAGTGAATATATTAAATGGCGGCCCATTTAAAGGAAGAGAGATAATTTACGCTGGAATTTCACTTACTTTGAACCCAACATAGCACGCACATTTATGTGAATTTCGATTGGATGCTTTGCGTCTTTAGTTAAGATATTTTGGGGACGACAGATTGAAGCCCAATTATGTGAAGCAACGTTAGTAACAACGGGTTAATGGCACACTTTTCAGGCAAATTCCAGCTTTTAGCTACTTTTAAAAACCTTCACCGTCAGTGAACATCAATTTTTTCTAATTGAGTCAGAGAATAGTCGCAAATAAGTCGGATCTTGTTGGTTCATCCTGTGTGGCTATCAATTTTACAGAGTGAGGTTTGTTGAGACGAGGATATATCATAGGAGCGTGTTGGGCTAAGCCCTAACATCGTTGGCGGTCAAGATTTTGTAGGCTGCTGAACGGATAATTCTGTAGTAGATTTATATTGAGCGTTGAACCAAAAACCCGCTGGACGTTAGTGTTCCTATTTCGCGCCCACATATTAGTCGCAGTCTGGTTACGGGGGGAGACTTGGTTTGGAATTTTATTAAGCTATCTTAATCCGTAGATAGTAAAGGATAATTAACGTATATTAAGCTCACTATTAAAAAGCAGAGGAGTAAAGTCTTTTCACCATGGTGTTAAGTTATTTAGCGTTTGCCTATAAGACTGATTAGAAAAGAGTGCTGCTGAATGAGAGAAAATCTATAAAGACATTCCGTCAAGTCAGTAATCAGAAACGACTGCTTTCCAAAACTTACCAATGGCCAAGCTCGCAACGTCAGAAACAAAAGTTTGTCAATTACAACAATCCCCTGACCATTAGATTAATTCCAACAAAAATACCTCCAGAAAAGTGTCAGATTTAAAAAATCTCAAGAGAGGCCTACATGCAATGGATTTGCTAGGCTTATAAGCTAATGTTTGAAAGCACACCTTAAGTACATAACATAGCATAACAACAGAACAAGGCTAATTAAAGTGAAAATAGTGCGTATGTATCACAATGGTTCATGAGTGGAAAGACTTCCTACAAAATGACCTGAAAGAAAATTTAGAAATTTCGCCACTTCAGATAATTATCAATATATTGGGGAGCAGAATATATGAAATGCACCCTAAAAAACGCATGTAGGAACTTGCCAATAAAGAAAACCGGTCGGTTGTAAACAAATCTCGGATTCCCGTTTGCCCAGGACAGTTCGTCTATGAGTAGAGTGAATTTGGCTACGTGAACGTTGTCCAGACTTCTGCGGGAACGATTCTTAGCATGAGAATGGTAAATCGTAAGGTTTCGTTCCTTCACCAGACTACGTTTGGCGATTTGAGGTGTATATCCCCCAAATGATCTTGTTGACTGGATTGTTTGTTGGTTCTGATCACAAGAGTGGTTGCAAACTCGGAATGTGGTTTTGTGTAGACCGCGCTGTTCTTCAACGTCTGGGCGGGAATGGCTACGATGAGTAAATTGCTGGGTGCACTTGAACAGTAAATCGACGATCATTGTGTTGTTAAGCCACATTGAGCAGGTATCCAACACATTCCTTTCGTAGGTCTTAGAAAAGAAGGGGAAGAAATTACACACTTATGCATTTTTCTACCATCGTCCGCTGGAACGCACTTCTCAGCACGTAAGAATGCAACGTCGGTGCATCGTAAAAAATCAAATATACTTTGGCACGTCCTATTCGAATAAACACAAAATATATGTATGGAAACAATTTCTTTTCGCTAAAACTCGGATGTTTACTAGTAAAAACAACGGGGATTTGGTAGATAGCCACCCGCTTCTCTATGTTACGATTGTAACTCTTTCGTAATATTACGTTCAGACATCTAAGTAGTAATTTCACCTTGTTTTTATCATAAAATGACGAAACTCTTCAGAAGTACTTAAGAAAACTTGCAGAGCACCTCACTTCATAGCAAGGTCTTCCGAGGCGTGGTCAAATTCTGGTGTGACACACCCACTAGGCGTTGTAACATCAAGTTACTTTTTGGGTTTTATAGAGCAATTTAGATTCTATGCCGTCTTAATAAACTCCTCAAGACACTATAGATAAAATGAATTTAGTGTGAGTACTAAATAAATAATTCACTCTTTATCTTCATGACTTCTGTAGACGCAGTAAATTAAACAAAAACCCAAACTTTACATCACAGTCAGCGAAGTTATGGTCAAATCCCAAAATTTCAGTCGGTCTAGTGCTTCCGATTTCGTTTCGATTCATCGAGTGGACGTGGAAAAACAAGAAATAATGCTCAGTTTAGTGCTGTTTTGACAAGTAGCTTGCATAAGGGGTATTCTGAAAACCTTCCGTCAAAACAAGCATTTGTAAGGAAGAAGTGAAAACTAGTCAAAACCTGAAGATTCATTCAAACACCCATTTGGTCGCTCAGATAAACCCGATTGCTCAAAAAAGGCGGGATCCTCAGGGAATGCGAAAATTGACGTATTTTTGTGAGTCCAATGTGACGTCATCATAGTATGATGGCGGGAGTTCTTTCATGGCAAGCACTCAATAGAGCCTGAAAAAAGCAGTCAGCCAAGAGGTATATTCTCCGCAGAAAGATATGCTGCCTAGAAGCCTCACTCTGTAAACCTCCGTCTTGTTAAGAACGGCTTGTGCACCTAGGTCTTCCATCAAAACAAGCATTTGTAAGGAAGAAGTGAAAACTAGTCAAAACCCTGAAGATTCAAAATACACCCATTTGGTCGCTCAGATAAACCCGATTGCTCAAAAAAGGCGGGATCCTCAGGGAATGCGAAAATTGACGTATTTTTGTGAGTCCAATGTGACGTCATCATAGTATGATGACGGGAGGTTTTTCATGGCAAGCACTCAATAGAGCCTGAAAAAAGCAGTCAGCCAAGAGGTATATTCTCCGCAGAAAGATATGCTGCCTAGAAGCCTCACTCTGTAAACCTCCGTCTTGTTAAGAACGGCTTGTGCACCTAGGTCTATAAATGTTACTTGTTCCCATTGCGATTCATCCACCTGTAACCAAAGGCTGTTTACTTCCGTTTTCGAAAAAGGTTTTGACAATCAGTAGATTTATTGCTGCGCTACGTCTCGTTTTTGACACAAAAGCTTCGTCAGGCCAAGTGACTAGGTTCCGAGGTTGGTCGAGATCTAAGACGGAAGGGGAACCAAACAGCTAAGTCAAGATAAATCTCTGTTAGGTGTCGGCCGTGTGTTTTAGGGTGGGTGAAATAGTGTTGGGCTGATGGGGAAACCTACATGTGTCTGGGTCCAGCCTAAGGTCTAGCTCTTCTGGTTCGGTCATTTGTCGACGAGCTGTGTGGATGAGCTAGTGCCAAGATAGTTGTGTAAGAGGGATGCTGTGACCTTTGGTCGGGTGGGGATTTCCACACTCACCTCAGTTTTTGCTAATGATTCTACGTGGACTGACAACCACACAGTCACGTGTCAACTCGGCTTATCTAAGACCGCTTTCCATACGCTCATCAGTTCCACACCTTCGATTCTATTCACGCTGTGAGGTTTAGTAATTACCACCGCCTGGGCCACCAACCGCTGTGTTGTGAACCGCAGTCCCCGTATAAATCTTCCACATTATCCAGATCTATTCTGTCCCGTGTCTAAGGCATGTACCACCATCGCTGAGACTTTGACCAGCGTTTGATATTCTTCTACATTCTTTGGTGGTCAGTTTGTTCTTCTTTATGCTCACCAATTCTGCTTACACCTTCTGTCCGGTGCAATTCCACATGGAATTCTACACTGCTGTTGGTTCCCAGTAGCCTGTCAGGTATCCATTGTTGACAGCCTTACACGTGAATTACAAATTAACAAATGAGTTCACAGCGCGCTTAGACTTTCCAGGCAGTTCAAAAGTCAAAATCTGCTAAGGTAAGAACCCTCCAAAAAGTCCACCTGAAGTTCTGTTGTTTTGGTGTAGAAAATTTCTCAGTTTAAACTTTTGCAGAACCTTTCGTCAAAGTCTCGGGTGCATTGCACACGCCTGAGTGGTCATTTTTTATCGATTGTTTTAAATGGTGTGGTACATGATGGCGCCTTTCATTTGGCATTGTGTTAATAAAGCTGAATCCCCTTATTTGATATTGAGGCTCGTCGACTACTATATTATCTTTTCTAACCCCATGCTTGTGCGGTGGTATTGCGAATTTAAGTTTGTCAGAGTATGTCTGTTGGAAAGAATACATTGAATCTTCATCTTTTCACGGGGCTTTGGATTTTTCTGATAGTCAATTTTCAAGTTTTATGCGCCGGCTGCACAGGTTTTCCCAATATCCGTTTCTTTCATCAGCTCTTGTTAAATTAAGGAAATTGTGACATCACGAGGATGTTTGGCCTTTGCACGAGAGCACTGCACTCTGCTGTTCGTTTACCGCAAACACTACCTCTGGTGAAATTTATCTGATCTTTGTCTCGGCCATAATATGCACGGGTTCGGTCACTGTTTACTCAGTGTTAGTTTACACATTTGCTTGATTTAGATTACCAAGCAGGATAAAACCATTTCGTACTGAACAGTGAGGGATGTATGTCGGTTCAATGAACTGTTTTTGTTGAAATTTTATGGGCTGTTTGTATGCCTGTAGGTGGGTACGTTTTCGTACAAAACGCAATTTCTAATGCAAGGTCCTGTTTCTAGTATGAGACGTGAAATACATATGTAAACATCAGTTCCATCAGAGGCACAAATCGCCTTCGTGAGGACACTCCTCTCATTTATTTCTCGCACTTTGCATCTGCATTACAAATATTTGTTTAACTTAAGAGTGTACATTAATGAGAGCTCCAATAATCTGAGTAGTATATGCAGTGTAGTTTGTTACGGTACAAACATTCAATGCATAAACCAGGGGTTTGGACTTATAACCTTTGTTCTCAGCTGAAACTATTCTTGTTATTTCAAGGAGCTCCTAGCGTTTTCAACCGTAAGTGAAAGCAATAAATACCGAAGAGCCGAGAAACACTGTACAGTTGTTTCATCTCTACTGGGAACCGCCCGTAGTGCACATTTCACAAAACCTCAGGGAGTTTCACATCCCTGCTAATAGTTTGAACAATAAACAGTTCGGCAATGCGCGGCTCATCAGCAGTGTGGTTAGCTTGCACTTAGAGAGGATATGGCGCTAATTATTATTCAACAAGTGAATCCACACCCTTTGTTCATGTGTTGGCTGGTTTTTCGAGTGAAATCCACTCATATGTTGTTTTCGCGAAGACAGTGGGATTTATCATTTCAGAAGTTGTCAATCAAGGAGCCAGGTAACGCTTGACCGCATGGTGTGGGTTCGCAATTAAGCATTGAGTGGTTTTTCATCTTGTTTGAGGACAAGTTTATCAACTGTTTATTAACTGATGGCCTCCGAACACCTAATTTTTCGAGCGGAATGTCACTGGGTCGAAATCTTCTGGAACTTCTCGAGATGTGCGTTGCTGCTCATTCCCGGTAAAAATGAAACAGATCTGCAATGCTTTTCAACATTTCAACATAGACTGGATTCTGATATGAAACCAATTTAATTGATGAGCTAGATCGTGGCTTTGTGATGAAGGTAAATCTTCCTGATTGCTATTTTAACGTCCATTTTGCAAGTAACCAGCTATTATATTAAGCAGACACTAAGTTGAAAAAACAGGTAATTTTTAGGAGAGCGAATTGTAGCTCATTTGGCATACCTGGTGCAAAGACAATTTTAGGCGGTTCGTTTGTGATGCCAGTTTGATGCATTGCATCCATGCCACGTGGAAGAGATGGCTACGTTCATAGTCGTCCTCATATTAGACAGGGTTCATCTCGCAATCAAAGATGGATTCTAACGAATTCGAATCTTTTTCGTGCGATCTCATATTGGTCCTTCAACATTTTTACTACTTTTGGTTCATCAGTCTTGTTTACATTGCTTATTTTAGCATCCAGCTTACGGGTCAGTGTTTCCTCATCAAATTCATATCCAAAGTTCACAGCTGATAAGCTCACTTTCATGCCATTTGCTACGTTGTCAAAGTGCATTTCCATCACCTCGAAATATGAGGACACTTTTCATCACGAAGTACTTTTGGCGTATTGATGATTGTTACCATATCACTGATGTACAAAAACTATTATCCATCCACTAAAATGCTTTTTCTACATGAGTGACCGAATGACAGCTTTGGTTATGTTTCGATTCTGTGACAGAAAAGAATCATTCTTAGACGCCCACGTCAGATGTTTACAGCATCACCATAAAGGAAAACTTGAATTGGGCGTAGAGTACTTCAATACAATATTTGCAATATTTGTGATATTCGAAAATCCCCAGTAAAAAACATACTGATGGGAAACACCTCGATCGTTCATGAACCGGAACAAGTATAAAGTACACAAACCAAGATTTACGGCGCAATCCGAATAGGTAGTTAGTAAGTGATTCCAGTGTTGGGTTATGGTCTCACACTCATTACAACTTGTACACAGAATACATCGGCGGAATCTTCTTTGCTTATTTCTATTACAAGCAAAAATTCCGTCAACATAAACTTTTTAAAGATGGACAGGTTTTAAACGCACAGTCTGCCCCAAGTTTTGACTTGTGATATAAAGTTGACACAATGTCAGTCAGAAAACTGAACAGATTCGGGGTTCTTCTATCACCTTGTTTACGTTTGTCATGCCTGAGGGGTCACTATGTTGTCTCCAGGTCGAGTCATGCTTAATCTCTAATTGATTACCTTAAGCGAATGGAATATTATACTGTCAAGCTCAACAAACTATAAGTATGATATCATACCAGGCTGGATATATTGTTTCATAATTGAATATCTAGAGTTGATCACTGTCAATTCAATTTTTCTAAAAATCTGCATAATTGTTCACACGTTAAGTCTCACGTATTGAGTCCTGATTCCATAATGTGGTGTTGAGACAGTGCTGAATGGAATCCACGTCACACAGCAAATCGTCATGTACCGTTGTCAAGCTACAAGTTCCGTGGGGACTATTTTATATTTCAACCATGTAAATGCGTATGTCAATGGCAAAATATATATTTATTCCATGATTCTCATCCACACATTTACAGTTGCAATGATACGAGTGGAGTAGTTGGAAGTGCTAAAATCATTTTAGCAGAAAATCGTCTTGAATCAGTCATTTATTGGATAAATTTTGCTAAATCTGACGGACCTATCAAGCCTATTAGGCCTTCTTGTCAAGATCAAGTTCAAATTGTTGAGTGTAGTAATGTGTAAATTGTGTCCTTAAGGTAGTTTAGGTTTGCTCAATAATAAAAGAATCAGATCACCACTGTACACAAATTCAACTGCTTCATGCGTATCAAAATGTTTCTACAGATTTTAACAAAGGTCTTCGATAATAAAAAAATGTTCTATAGATTCTGATACATGTGCATTCAACGTTGATCATTCTTGCTCACAGATATTAAGTGTTCAACTACTGTTTATCAGGAGGTATTTTCAACCTTCGGCTTGTACAAATAGTGCAGACAAATTGAAACCGAATATACCGAGCGCGACAAATTGTCATGAATCTTATTTGCAACAAAGCGGTCTCTCCCAAAATTTCCCTTGCCAGGTAAAATTAGAAATTGTCAGCACAAAAACTGTCCATTTATTTATGAACGTTGCATATTTCGAAGAATCACCAACTCTAAAACACGACGCGTTTGCCACCGGCTTGCCACTGCGTACTGGTATCTACATAGGAGTTTCCGATTTCGAAAATTAAATCGAAAGCTTGAAGTACAATTGCTGTCGGGTCTGCTCTGATCATCACTCTACCGACTGAATTTACGTCGTAAGACGGCCTTCTTATCTGTTTGAGTCAACCAAATGCTTCATATAATTTAAATACTTTAGCTTATTGTTAAGAGGATCGAAAGCTCACATTCTTAAAAATCTTGAAGAATGCAAGATACGTGGGCCTGATTACTGGCAGACATGGTTGTCAGTCTGAGGAACCTGTGTATATGATCTATTCGCAATGCACGGCAAAAAACTAAATGAGAAGAAACCAAATAATTTTACCCGCAAACTGCGCAGTGACAAAGCATTGTAACAATGCAGTACTGTACGAAATTGTCTACTGATTTTGAGAAGGATGTCTGACAATTGCCCTTCTGATTGTTTCGGGTTTCTTCCTGGATAATATGCGTTCTTTTTTGGGATAAGCACTTCTTGATAACCATTCTGCATCCAAACCAACAGAAACTGAGAAAGTGTAGTATTCGTATTTTCATAGTCTTTTTCTATGGAAGGGGGTTCTCATGAGATAAGCACAGCAAATGATGAAAGCCCATGAGCGTTGACTAAGTTAACAACTGGAGAAGTATGTATTAGTATGTAGTGATGCTCCAGTATATAAGGCCCAACTTCCACAACAGGCTGTGATACAAAACTTCAAGCCGAAGTGAAGTCAGAAAACCACAGTGAATGAACGCACTCAATAAAGCACTAAATGCAGTTGAGTAAGATGCCATTAAATACCCTATCATTTGAAGGAACTGTTAGGCGCATGGTTGGGATCGAACGAAATTTGGGGTTAGTCAGATCAGCTAGATTTGCTGAACTAAGAAGGCCAGAGAAAATCATCGACAGTCGGTATAATCCAACGTAATCTTTTTGATAGCCTATTGCTGGAATAGTTTAGTGATCTGCTTCGCTTTTAAGCGATACTCAAATTGAAGCTGTGTACATAACTGTTTAAGAAAGTCAAGGCCAACCTACCGACATCATTTTTGATATGACAAGAAACTTCTAACTTTGTTACCTGTTTGGAAAGCAGTGAAACTACTTACAGTCGATGGATATGTACAAGGTAGGACTGGTAGCAACATTAATGATGAATCTCGGTACTGTGTATCCGTAGTTCCAAGTTATGCGTGATCTTCCTCCAAGTAGTAAGAAACTTCTGACTTTGTTACCTGTTTGGAAAGCTGTGAAACTACTTACAGTCAATGAATATGTACAAGGTAGGACTGGTAGAAACATTAACGATGGATCTCGGTACTGTATATTCGTAGTCCCAAGTTATGCGTGATCTTCCTCCAAGTAGACATTACAGCTTATATCAAGACGGTGTGGACAAACTCTGGCTCTACAAAGCAACGACCGCCTCCTTAGAAAGGTAAGTATATTTGCAACAAGAGTGATAATCTCTCTCCCAGGACTGGTTCCTTTAGATAATATTGTCATGCATTTTCCATGTCATACGGAAACGCTTTCTCCGACTGCTATAGGGACTCACACAGTGCAAACAACACGAACAGGTATCACCACAAAGAACTCACATATATATGCTTCAACAAACGCTTCTAAATATACAGGACCGTAGAATGGTTCTCGTTGCACTGCAATTATGTACCTTTAGGACTTATAATCAAGTCTGTAAACCGAACCAAATCAAACATAGGCTTTGGCTAGAGCTGCTCTGTGACGCCGCCCCAATTAGTACCGTATGAGTCTAAATTGAAAATACCTACTTCTTCAGAGCAGCACTCTTCAACTAAATACAGAACCAGATATAGAAAATAGCAAGAGTCGGAGGTAGAAAATATATGCTCTTGGGTGAATGTCGCTTTTAGAGAATTGGATGCCAGGCTGAGTGAACGATTTTAGCGGGCAGCATGGGTGGACTAAATCATCCCAATAGTTTAAGACACCAAGTACCCTTTACATTTAAGTATGCCTTCTTTAAGTATAACTACCACAATTCGACATGACATAGTAGTCAGCAGTGATGGTATGCACCTTGTTTATTTTCCCAAGGTAGTTTCTGTTCTGACAGAAGCTCTTGAAGTTTTCTCATTCTGTGCTGTGCGGCAAACTGATAAAGCCCCGAAGGTTGAGAATTACGCTTCCCTTAATAATGCATCTCCCATAACGCCGGAGATGCTGAGTGAGGCTTTGTCTAAGCACAGTTACAGGTAAATATAATGTACCCAGTACACGTGGATATATCATAATATGAATCACTTACCCACAGTATGTACAATGATTCATAGGGACATACAAAAATGACTTCGTCTCGCGGTTGCACGTAGAGCAGTGGTGCTGGCTTTGTTTGAAAACTGAAACAGTAGGACAAAATAGCGAAAATGAACAAGTCTAGTTGTGTGAAATATGAAATTCTATAATAAACTGATGTCGTCGCCCACTGTTGCGACCCAAAATCAAAGAAAGCAAAGCCTTTGCTAGTTGTGCTTTTGTGCTACGGGAATAAAACAACTGAGTGAAGTTTCATTGTAAAGAAAATCAGCTGTCTGAGGCCGGAAGGTTAGTTTTGTAGATGGAAGTGCTTCCAAACTGCGCATAACCGAGTAACAACCTCGGAGTGGAAAAGGCCGCTGGTGCCACATTGAAGCCTACTCACTTTTCAGCAGCAGACATTTTTCAGCCGAAATATCATGATGTTTGAAAAAATTGTGAGTCCACCTGAGTTGGTTCTGTATTTATTTTGAATGTCTGACGGATGTAGTAGACATTCGACTCCGAACGTGACATTTCAGTTTCTGGTGTCCACGCTTGTGCATCCTACCAACGGCAAACGTCCTGCTTTCTTCCGTTAGCATGACAGCAAGGGGCAAAAAGGTGCCACAGCTGATCAGTTCGCTAGAGCCTTACTAAATGGCAGTGTGTTATGGGGAAATTTTCAGATATCACGCTCAGTGATGCAGATGACTTTTCTCACCCACTGAGGCGCACCACCACTTGGAAATGATTGCGGAAGCATTCGTTAGCCATTCAACTGTGTATTGATGTAAGGGTGATTACGTGACAGGCGCCTCAGCAAAAGTAAATGATACCGCTTATCACGTTTTGGCTAGTTAGGCTGTCTAGAAATCCCTGATTCTGTCTATAGTTTTGGATTTTCACACGACATGGTTGCTGAGCTACTTCCGACGGCTTTGAAATGGCACTCTCATCTGCACTTTCTTCTAATATCCGCGTATACAGTTTGTGTGTGACCATTTACTCTGGCTATCTAGTCCCATATTTACTTTTCACAAGAACTCGTTTATGTCAAACTGGTCAAATTTTTCATTGATTCTGAGTGTATGCTACGAAACATACGTGAACTTTCCTATGCTTAATTATAGGTTGCAAGTCACTGCATGTAGATAAGGAACGAATTCAATGGCATGGTCGTCATTCACTGTCGCTAACTATAAAGTATGTACCGGCTACTTTTGTACAAAAGCTTTGCGTAATATTGAAATCTTTCTGGATTGCGGCTAAATGCTCAAAATCTTATTTTAAAAGCCTGCACGAAGAAAATCTTATTGCTGGTTGAATCACGCCACACCAAAATCGTTCAAATTTCCCTCCATTTTGCTGCAAGAGATAAAAGTTCAACGTTCGCTGGAAAAAGAATAAGGGTGTCCTATCTAAGTGCTCTGCCTCACGCCATAGGCAGATATTTTTCAACGGCTCATAAAATCCCGGGCGGCGAACTGGATTTATGTCTGGGTACCGTAGAGAAAGCGTGAATTTTTGCAACAAATGTCAGAAATCACACAACGCGTCTTCAGGCAAATAGCTCTGCTTATTGCTGTAAAACAGCCATTTGGTCCCCCAATATCGCTTGACTTGAACCGCGCGTAGCAAATGCTTTAGGAATTTGTCGACCTAGGCTAATGCCATGTATACTGCATACACATTACTAGAAACTATCAAAATGCAACTGGCTTTCAGGCCAATCAGTGATCCACATACTTTTCGAAAGTTACTCGGCAAGAAACCTATGAATTACTATTTATAAACGGATAGCTTACGTGGATTTGCTAAAATCTATTAAAGGGAACAAGCATATCAAACAATCTCACTTATTTGCACATTAGTCCGATCTTGACGGGAGACTCAAATGAATTCAAAATAAATCTCTAGTTTATGGTACTGTTCAAATGAGTGTATTATATTACCATCGTAAATGCCACGAAGCGTTTTGTTCTACCAGCAAAGGAAGTGTTTACTACGAACGCCTTCTCGACCTTGAATGATGATGAGCATTTATCGTTTTCAAAGGTCCACTTGTAAATTTTATTCTAAGATGTATTCAGTAATAAAACGGCATCATTAATATCCTGTGCACATTAAGTCAGCGTGAAATACGGTGACAGGAAGATGATGACAACGATACACCGCGCATCCACTGTGCAGTTTTTCTAATATCAATGCAAAAATGTCCGCTCTGTGTACAGGTAATTTTAGTACAATGGCTAATTAGGTTTGAAGCGAGTACATACTTGTGTGGTTATTTTCTCTGAAACAACCTATTCCTTAAAGGACAATGTCTCTAAATGTTTCCTGTAAGCAAACATTCAGTAGTCACCTATAGAGGCTATAAATATTTTCCACCAAGTCTATGCTATCCCGAAAATGACTTACTCGTAAGATTGTTAAAAAGTTTATGACAGCCCACGACCGGATTTGTCATTCTTGGGGCTCATCAGTGAGTCCCTGAGTTTCCGTCAATTTTGTGTTCCACTTGAACCCAAATAGCACGAAATTGGTTAACTACACTGATTTAAATACCAGTTTGGTTTTAACGGGAGACTCGCCTGGAACCCAGTTGAATCTTTCGTTTATGTTTCAAAAAAATATTATAAACAAGAGATTCGGCTGGATTCTAGGTGAGTCTTTCGGCAAAGGCAAATTGGTATGCAAATTAGTTTATTTGCCTGAATATTTCACTTGTTTAATGAAAAAACCCCAAGACGGACTATACTGTATCTCGCTTGACTAATATCACATCTGGCACTCTACACAAAAAGAACTCTTTTTATTTTGTTCACAAGGGCTCTTCTATTCTAACAGTAATCAGCCACATTATGAACGCATTCTCCTGCCTTCTTAGCTTTAACCGGTTAGTGTTCTCGACTCATCGGAGTATAATAAGCCCACTGGATGGAATGCTGGGTCACAATCACATCCCAAATCTGTTATGTACAAGTATTGTTAAATGCATTCGGGTTTCAAATGCGATTACTGAAAACTCCTGTAGGAAGCACAGTAGTGCATGTACTGGATTTGGTTGGAATAAAGTGCTGATCACTTTTCAATTATTCAACTCAAACCAAGTGGTAAACCGTGGCTAATTGGACCGGATCTGCTAAAAAAGCGTCATAGGGAGCTAACTTACTTTCTCAGATTGAGATCATATTGTAACTTGTACACAAAACCACACTCAGTTTATCTTTTGTTATTTGGAGTCGTTCAACAGACTTTCGTAACAAAGACTGTAAATTGTACCATTCCCCGCAGTGGATGTCAGTGTACTGTATTCTTTAGAGTATTTTATCCGATTACGGAGTGACACACCCGGATCGAATGACCTTCCTGCACTAAACAGCTTATTTCCCTGGCCAGCGATGTACTTTACTACTTTGTATGCACCAAGGCAAGTGACCTACAACCAGTGCCTTGGCTTTTCCAGGGCTGCTGGTTTTGCATGTATAGGAAACATTTGAGACTTGGCGTCAATATTTACTATGAGTAGCCGGGCTTTCGTGTAGCTTAGCAGAGCAAACAACCTTTTACCAATCCACCGAAAGGAAGGTTAGATAACCACATGTGTATGATGTGAAACGTGGTGATTGGCAAATACTAACCGAGCTCGTCTTTGTTTACCTAGAAATTTAGTCGATTTGGTGTCAATATAGGGAACCGTCTTTACTTTTCTAAAGTCTTCAGCCTTGATAAAGCTTGACCAACCTAAAATTTAACTTGATAGGTAACATGGTCAGCATAATTTCTAACGGAATATCTATGGGAGAGTATCGAGGTCATTTACATGATAATCCATTTAACAAAATTACATTCAGGTTAGGTTAGGTTTAGCTGAAGTTATCCGACATCGTGCTAGGATATTTACATGTACTTTCTCCCAAGAGAGGCAAAAATTCCATGAATAAGGTTACTTACTTTTGAAATTTGTTTTGACGTAAAAATTAGGTGAAATTAATGTCGAATATTTCTTTGTCACTGCTTACTTGCTGACTACATCTTTTTGCGGCAGGAAAAACAAAGTCACAGAAAATTTAGTTTCTGATTGGTCAACTTCCTAACTTGCCTAAATTTTGTGACCGACTGAGTGGTTTTTGAAAGGTGGAGCCAACTCGGATTTTTTTACCTTTACTCTTGTTGGGACGAATGGGAGGAAATGATAGCATAAGTGAGTAAAACTGCACCCCAGTGGGTGTCCAACGCTGATAATTGGAAAACACTGCGTACATAAGATTCGAGTGCAACTGGAACGGACATGAGACCGGAAATATGGGACACAATTGGTGTACGCCTAACGAGATAGAGGGTTTTTGGTTCGCAGGAATTAATATAAAATCGATAATCACCCCAAAGCGCTGGCTAGAATGTGGCGAATAGTTAACTGTAAATAAAAACTCACTGTACTGAACCCTTCGATTTCTTGGTCCATTTAGTCAATAGGATAAACCGTGAACCCTGTAATTCATCCTTCCACTGTTTTTCGGTGGCATAGTCACCGTCATAGGTTCAAAAAAAGCGGAGTGGTGAAAAAAATACCAAGTTGTTTTCCTCGATATCATCGATATCCTACATAGACGACCTACTTGGTTATTTCGCAAAAGGCAGACTTTGCGCAACGTTGTAACGTTTACCAGCCCATGTGGGTCTCAAATCCACTACAGTTGGGCGCGCTAATGCATAATGAGGCAACTCATACTTTTTCTCAAGTCAGCGTGATTACCTGCTTCACCAGGTCGATAATAGTTTTTCAGTATTAGGTTAACTTTGCACTGATTCAACTAACGCCTCGAAAAAGTCCTTGTTTGCGGACATTTTTCTTCAGTTTTTTTAGTTTAATGCTAATAAGCAACAGGCTTGAAACAGGCGGATGAAAATGGAGGTGGAAAAATTTTGAAACGGGTCAGAACTCGAGGTAAAATGAATAGCTTCCCTTATTAGTGAATCCGTAGTTGAGTACCTCAAAAGATGTCTTTCTGAACATTGCATTTTTTGGTCCTAATGAATGTGAGTTGTAAGTTTATTTGTATGAGACATACTAAAGTAGATACCTATAGTGGGTTTCTAA